GTACTTTGGGGTACCTGGGGGTACGAGTGCCGGGTCAACGACGAGAAGAGCTTCACCGAGGTCTTCGTCAAAGGTGGGACACCTGGACACCTGGGGACCTGGGACACCTGGGACACCTGGGACACCTGGGACACACCTGGGGACCTGGGACACCTGGGACACCTGGGACACCTGGGACACACCTGGGACACCTGGGCACCTGGGGACCTGGGACACCTGGGCACCTGGGACACCTGGGGACCTGGGGACCTGGGACACCTGGGCACCTGGGACACCTGGACACCTGGGCACCTGGGGGGGTTTGAGGACATCTGGGGAGGTTTGAGGGCATCTGGGGGTACTTTGGGGTACCTGGGGGTCCGAGTGCCGGGTCAACAAGAAGAAGAGCTTCACCGAGGTCTTCGTCAAAGGTGGGACAGCTGGGACACCTGGGACACCTGGGGACCTGGGACACCTGGGACACCTGGGACACACCTGGGGACCTGGGACACCTGGGACACCTGGGACACCTGGGACACCGGGACACCTGGGGACCTGGGACACCTGGGACACCTGGGACACCGGGACACCTGGGGACCTGGGACACCTGGGCACCTGGGCACCGGGACACCTGGGACACCTGGGACACCTGGGACACCTGGGACACACCTGGGACACCTGGGACACCTGGGACACCTGGGACACACCTGGGACACCTGGGCACCTGGGGACCTGGGACACCTGGGACACACCTGGGACACACCTGGGACACCTGGGACACCTGGGCACCTGGGGGGGTTTGAGGGCATCTGGGGACGTTTGAGGGCATCTGGGCACACCTGGGGGCACCTGGAGGGGTTTGAGGGCATCTGGAGGTACTTTGGGGTACCTGGGGGTCCGAGTGCCAGGTCAACAACGAGAAGAGCTTCACTGAGGTCTTCGTCAAAGGTGGGACACCTGGACACCTGGGGACCTGGGACACCTGGGACACCTGGGACACCTGGGACACCTGGGACACACCTGGGACACCTGGGACACCTGGGACACCTGGGACACCTGGGACACACCTGGGACACCTGGGACACCTGGGGACCTGGGGACCTGGGACACCTGGGCACCTGGGCACCTGGGACACCTGGGACACCTGGGACACCTGGGACACCTG